GTGTATGAGCCGGCATGCTGTCGCGTCACGTCTCTGATGATGAGGGAGAGGCCGCTCATGATGACGCCGGCGCTCATGTTGTGCTCCATCGTCATGCCCTGTGGGGGGGGGGGAGGTACGTTTACTTATTTTAGGTACTTACGGTTACTAACGTTAGTAATTTGCTCTTACTACTCACTATTTACTTACGCTTTACTTACACTATTTACTTACGCTTACTTGCACTATTTACTTACGCTTACTTGCACTATTTACTTACGCTCTTTACTTACACACACTTACGTTATTTACTTACCCTTACTTATAGTATTTACTTACATGCTGCATTTGCTTACACGTACTTATGTTATATACTTACATACGTTATTTACTTACGTTATCTACCTTCACTCTGGCATTTATTTACATATATTACTCACTAACCAACAATTATCTGCATTATATGGTTACGTACAGCATTTTCTCAAACTGACTTACATTGTATACATATATACGGCATTTACTTACAGTATTTAGACTTACCTACATACATTTATATATGGTACTTACTCACGGCGGCGGGGGGGGGCAGTGATCTTGTTGGTTACTGTCTATCAGGAATTGCCGTTCATTCCTCTATTTTTACAATTATGTAAAATTATGTGCGAATAAGTGTATGTGTGTATTTATGTATACATGTATATATGTATATATATATATATATATATATATATATATATATATATATATATATATATATATATATATATATATATATATATATATATATATATATATATATATATATATATATATATATATAAACGTATATATGTATGTATGTATGTATGTATGTATGTATGTATGAACGTATATATGTATGTATGCATATATGTATGTATGTATGTATGTATGAATGTATGTAAGTATGTATGTATCCGTTCGTGTGAGCGCATGTCAAGCCCCAATCCTCCTGATTGAAAGGAAAAAGAACAGCAAAAAACAACCTTTCCCCTGTCTGCTTGTGACAGACTCCAATGATTCCTTATCTTTTTACACGAACGGAAGGGGGATCGGGAGAGGGAAATATCATAAAAAAAAGAAGAAAAAAAAAAGAGAGGAATCGGATCCTTTCAATAGGATCGTGATGCCAACTTGTTTACCTGTCTGTAGAATTCAATAGAGGTTTAGGCGATTCGCTTTTGTTATGGGTGGGAGAGTATAGATGACTTGTCCTCGTTGTATATGGGGTGTCTCTCTGGATTCGTTTCTCTATTGTTGTGTTTTTATTATTGCGTTTTCTCTCTCGTATTTTTGCTTGTTAACGTTTCAGAAACAGAAGTTTAGTGCAACTGAGACTTAGGAAATTACAAATAGATAGACAGACAGACAGGTATGTGTATAGATAAGTAGATAGAGATTGATTGATAGATAGAGAGATAGATAGATAAATAGATTGACAGACATACAGACAGACAGACAGATAGATAGATAGATTAATAGATAGATAGATAGATAGATAGATAGATAGATAGATAGAGAAAGAAAGAGAGAGAGAGAGAGAGAATTGGAAAGATAACTAGAACGAGAATGAGAAAAAGGAAATAAAAGTGGAAAATGAAAAATCAAGATAAAATCAAGATAAAAATGAAAATAAAAATAAGGAGAGTAAAGAGAAAAAGGAATGGATAGAGAAAGAGAAAGCGAAATAGAAAGAGCAAGAGTACGAAAGAAAGAGAGAGGACGAGGAAGGAGACGAGGAGGGAGACGAAGATGAGGACGAACAAGACAAAGAAGACGAAGTAGACGAAAAAGAAGTCGAAGAAGATGACGAAGAAGAAGACAAAGAAGAAGACAAAGAAAAAGAAAACGAAAGAGAAGACGACGAAGAAGACGAAGAAGACGAAGAAGAAGACGAAGAAGAAGACGAAGATGAAGACGAAGATGAAGACGAAGAAGAAGACGAAGAAGACGAAGAAGAAGACGAAGAAGAAGACTAAGAAGAAGATGGCGAAGAAGAAGATTAAGAAGAAGATGACGAAGATGAAGAAGACGAAGAAGAAAACGAAGAAGAAGACGAAGAAGAAGATTAAGAAAAAGAAGACGAAAAAGAAAACGAAGAAGAAGACGAAGAAGAAGAAGAAGATGACGAAAAAGAAGACGAAAAAGAAAACGAAGAAGAAGACGAAGACGAAGACGACGAAAAAGAAGACGAAAAAGAAATCGAAGAAGAAGACGAAGAAGAAGATGACGAAAAAGAAGACTAAAGAGAAAACGAAGAAGAAGATGACGAAAAGAAGACGAAAAAGAAAACGAAGAAGACGAAGAAGAAGACGAAGAAGAAAAATAAGATGCAGAAGACGAGGAGGGAGGCGAAGAGGGAGACTCACGTTGTGGAACCAGTCGACGCGGTGGAAGGGGGGGTTGGCCTGCACGTCGCACTCGAAGTACACGTCGTCGCCCTCCTTGATCAGCCTCGGGGTCAGCGCGCGGCCCAGGCGCAGGCCCACCACGGGGGCGT